ATTCTAAAGGGCTTCATCCACACCTATAGCCTTTTCATTTGCAGCCCAGATAACCTCTCTCCTGACAACCCCCGATGGTTTTCTGTGGATTTCCTTGGCAGACATTTAATGTTTCTAGCATCTCCAACTTCCTGGGATACCCATACTGTCTTCAGCTTCATCCTTATAACTTTGCACCTCACTTTGACCTTATTCACATAGCATTCTGACCCTGGTACACATTGATTTAAAAAAAAAAACTGGGTGGAAACCTCCATGACCCAACGACATTAATTCTTCATACCTACAGAACCAGTATCATGGATGAAGCCAAGATTTGCTGCCATCTTGATTAGTAGCCAGAAACCTCTACCATCTTTGAGTGCCTGAATAGCTGAACATGGGGAAGACACTTCGGTAGGCATCCTTGTACCAGACAGATGCACCCTAAAGCTCTCTTGTCAAAACAGACTTTTTGAATGAATCCATACATTTCCATTGTTAATCCTGTGGATGGTATCCAGCCAATTCCTGAGATGCACTGAAAACATCTTATCTATTGTCCCAATGTAACATACCCGACTTCAATCTAATGTCATGTCATAATCATCTCGGTAGTCATAATTTCCTTGGCTTAAATTTACACAAACTTCATTTCTGGAGTAACAGCAAGTTTTTCAGACCTTTTGGCTCTGTTTTTTTACTACCAATTCTCACTGTAAATCGGATTAAAGTAACAGTACTCATAGCCTGAAGGCCTTGAAATTTCCTCCACTTATTTAATAAGTCCATCTATTTTTTTTTCTTGGTGCCAGTCCTGGGGCTTAAACTTGAGGTGCTATCCCTGAGCTTCATTTTGCTCAACACCAGCTTTCTACCTCTTGGGCACAGCTCCACTTCTGACTTTTTTCTAACCATTTATTGGAGATAAAGGTCTCCCAGACTTTCCTGCTGGCTTCAAACTGGGATCCTCAGAACTCAGATTCCTGAGTAGCTAAGATTACAGGCATGAGCTACCAGCACGCCTCTAAGTCCATCACTTTTAAATTCAGTTTCACAAAATCTCAAGACATGGTCAAAATGCAGATGGATGAATCTCCCATATATCTTAAAGAAATGGGGTCTCGCATTCTGAGAAAAGGAGGTAAAAGTGTAGGGAAGGTTTTGGAAGGATAAGTAAAGTGGGCAAATATTGTCTTCGTAAGCAGTCTCCTAGATAATAGCAATTTATAATAATCTCTGAGCAGAAGTAGAAGCTTTATTCATGGTGTTATTTTTGCATAGTTTCTCTCTCTCATATATTCTAGTAGATAGGACCTAGAAGATAGTTTTTATAGAACCAATTTATTTCATTTAGGATTAACCCTTGATTTGACACCTCAGTTTAGAAATACATTCATCTACATGTAGGAAAACATCTGAAAACACTAATGGTATATTAGTGTAAAATACATGTATTTGTCCAGAAAGCTTGGGATTTTTGCCATACTTTTACAGATTATTTTCATTAGTAAAGACAAGGTTATTGATGTCTAATTGTTTTCATATCTAATCATGAAGGTAGATATACATCCCCCTGGTGAAGGCATTTGTCACTTGGGAATCTGGACGATGATTTATTGATGAGCTCTCAAACCTTTGGCTTGCTGTGAATTTGATATTTTATGGGTCTATAACTGAAAGATAGCCACCACCTTCAGGTTCTACAGTGCTATAGGAACTTCATTTCTCATTATTTCAGTAAGCCAAGGTATTGATGCAAACTCTCTTTTCCCCCTCCCTTCTCCTCCCCTCTACACCTTTGTTTCAGGCACTCTTTTAGGAAAACAAGCTTGGATATTAGCAAAGAGAGCTGCTATGTGTTGTCTACTTCTTCCTCACCCGAGGACCCTCAGGGAACTCCCAAGCCCTTGCCTCTATGACATTCCTTAACCCTCTTCTTGTTCATTGTTTTTCTCCCTTCTTGGCGTTCAGCAGTCCTCTGAGCCTTAGTTCAATGTCTTTGCTGCAGTCCAGTTTCTAAACTTGGGTGAGATTACAGGCTTTCTTGTAGCCTTAGCTGTTTATAAGGCTGAGTTGGATCAAAGGTCTTAACACAATGTGGGATATCAGTGCTGGTTTCTGCACTGATATGCACACAAGGCATGTTTGGTGGAGAGTGGCCTACTAGGATGGAGGTGGACAGTAGTAACTAGGGTCAAGTCCCTAACCTTGTGGAGCACATGCTCATCAGTTGGAGACTCAGTGGCAGCAAACCTCTTTTCATGTGTCTTCTCTATTACCTCTTCACCTCCTCTACAGTTTCATCTCTCCTTTCTTCAGCCTCAGTGATGGCTCAACAATATCTTCATGATCAATTCTTGGAGTCCAGGCTCTCCTACCTGGAGATGTTTATCTGACTTCTTGGCTTGTTACCTTTGCCTCCACTGCCATTTCTTTCTTAGGTCTACTGGCAGCAGGTGTATTTCATAATCCATGTCTTCTAGCCTTTCTTCAGGAAGTGCAGTACCTTAGGATGTGGACCTGATTCCTGTTCACATAGCTTTGGTAATACTTTTCCCCTGCCCAGGTGGACATGCAGAGGTCCAAGAGCTGCCAAAGCCCAGCAGAAGTTGAGATGGCCACAGTTTGAATCAATGGTCCACTCAGCAGGAGAAAGCTCAGGATAAAAGCATTGAGGCAATTATAGGAATTCGTTTCCTTGGCTATTTCCATCAAGAAATCTAAAATGATAATGTAGGGATTCATTACAGCTACTTCATTTTTACAAAGAAGAATGGCCCAGCTTCAAATCTAGGTAAACAATTAACGTATGTGTGGGTGGTACATAGGCTGGCAGCTCTGTTTTCCTTTTGCAGGCTTGTATTGCCCAGTTTTAGTCCACCCCTCACTCTTATCCTGCAATTTACTGCCCCTGAATGCTATGTTATCCATCTTTCTAAAAATAAAATCCCTAGCCTCGTTTTGGGAGATGTATGAACTGGCCCCCTACCTAGCAGAACTGCAAACTCCATAGCAATGACCACTGTAGTGCTCTCCTTTATATTCATTGCTTCAGAGTCCTGAAACTGCTCTCAGAAACGTCATCTGGTTTGCTTTTTATATGGGGGCATGAAGACATCATAGATCAAGCTATCTATGCTCTATCTTCATGCCAGACATGTACCTTAGCTGAAAAGCATCTTCCTGGCATGTGCAAGCCCATGTTTGATCCTGAACACCATAAATAAATATACTAACTTTCTCACTTACTAAAGCTTTCCTCTGTAGTGGAAGGGAATCCTCTATTGCAGATTCATACCTGATGTTGATTTTTGTTTCTCTCTCTTTTTTGAAGTATTGAGCTTTGACCTTGAGTCCTTGTACTTGACAGGCACTCTTATCAGTGAACCATACGATAAGTCCTGAATTTTGCAGTTCATCTTTTGACACAAGGAATTGCTCGTTGATAGACACTGGTCATGCCTTGACACTGCCTACTTAGGTTAGACTTCTCATCTAGCTAGGATACAAGGTATGTACCACAGTGTCCAGCTCTTTGTTAAGGGGTCTCACAAAATTTTCTGCCTGAACTAGATATATATATATATATATATATATATATATATATATATATATATCTGACATTGTTATCCTAAATTTTCATACTAGTTTATAAATATTTGGATGGACATGGGCTGATATGAGAAAGGTGTGATTCAAGATGAGAAAGTCCAGACTCAGCTTTATTTTTTATTTTTTAATTGTTATTATAAAGGTGATGTACAGAGGGGCTACAGTTACATAAGTCAGGTATTGAGTATATTTCTTTTTGGACAGTGTCACCCCCTCCCTCATTTTCTGCAGGGTTTTCCATTCCTCCTTCCCAAGTTGCAAAGTTCATTTCCAACCTAATGTCTAGTGAGTACCATTGCTGCATTTGTTCATCCTTTGTTTAAAGACAGATAATAGAACAGGATAAATGAAAACAATAAACAGCAGCAACAACAAAACAACAAACACTCTTATTTCCATATCCTAGAATTTACTTCTGTGGCAAATTGCCATGACCAGGGACAGTGAAATAGTGGGAAATCAGGCCTCAGAATGGTGGTTTGGAGTACCAGGAGACTTGAAATGATCTGCCAGCTTCAGATGCTTGCGGTCCCATTAACATGTTGGTTTTTTTAATTGATTTTAGTACAAGGGAGTACATGCCAAAAGTAAGGTATCAATATCTTTGAAGTTACAAACACTCACATGTGATTCAACTTTGTGTACAAATGACAAATAACTTCCTTATCTTCAGAAGTGGAGGTAAGCAGTAAACAACTTACAATATGTACAAGCCTTGTCTATCCTCAAGGTTCCAGACAGTTTGGGGCCAGATTAGCTCAGAGTTAGGGTAGAAATCTGAATCTCTGTTATGCCAGAACTGATAACTATCACCAGGGCATCTTTCAGCATTCTGAGAGCTCTCTTGGAGAATGGCATTCCTATCTCCATCCATCTCCATCCCTTCTGGATCTCACAGCTTGGCTTGGAGCGATTCTTAAAATTTCAACAAGTATTTTACATGATCAGATGCACATAGACATTAGGCCTTCGTGCAGATTTGAGCGTAAGTGTTTCATTTGTCCTAAAACTGCTTCCATACATTTTAGTTTGGGTTTAAAAGGTTCTACCTATGTTAACATTGCAATATTTTCTTAGAAAAAATAGATGAGCCTCAGCTAGACACAGGTGGCCAACTGTTCATGATGAATTGGGTTGCCTATGGACCTCCTTAACTTCTTTTCAGGGAGCTTCCTTTTCCTGGGCTGTAAAGATAAATGTCCCATGAAATTGATTAGGGCTCTTGAACCATTTTTAGTTCAGAATGCTTCCAGATGTTAAAAAGAGAACTACATGAAAAATAGACTACATGAAATTGTAGCCTATTATAAAGTAAAATTGTGTGATTTTGATTTTGACAAATGTTTATTGTACTGGACTGTTCACATACTGGGAATTCAGTACAATGACTAACTACCACTGGATTTCTACTTGTGGCGATCATCTTCTCCCAAGCTCCACATTTTAGCCTTGTACAGGGTGATGTCATTGTAGACCCTAAAGTGGTTCATCCTGCGGTCATGGCGCTCTGGGCTGACCTAAAGAAGAGGATATAGGATCAGAAAACCTCTCAGAAAGGGAGAAGATCTGGGTTTGGGTTAGATGAATGTACGCTTGAATTCCTGTCTGTCAGTGCTCTTCCTTACAAACTCTGTGACATGGAGAGCTCAACATCAGAAGTCATGAGACTGTAGGAGGAATGTCTAAAGTTTCCCTCTTTCAACAGCCTAAATTGGAGGCTTCACCTGAGCAAGCTAGAGTGAGCACCTAGTAGGAAGCTGCTACCTCCATCTTAGTGCAGTCTTGGCTTTTACCATAATGTCTTGTGCATGTGAGGTGTTCAATGCAGGTATGTTGAGTAAGGATGATTTTGTTGAGGTAGCCTCTTACAGAATTAAATAAAAGTAAGTATTCTGACTCATAAATCTAAAAGTTACACTGTGTATATATTTTCAGCAAATGTTACCAGGCATCATGAGTGTTGCGAAGCATGCTCACTGAGTATAGCTTTTCAACTGTCCTTGGAGTGAGGTTGAGGTCACTGTCGGAATAGAGTGAGGTTCTGTTAAGGGACTACACAAATTAGAGATCAATCAAGACTTGTATGTCTCTAGCCACATCATTCTGAACTCTACCATAATGCCATCTATGGTTACACAGCATCTGGTTCTAATGTTTCCTTTTTGGAGGATGGAATGAGATTATGCTATGCTTTATTAAACCACCAATGTCATCTGATGACATTTGTCCCAAGTTAACAGGACTGGAATATCTGAAGACCCCTTAAAACATGTACAAACATGGCCTAGAAGGTTCTGAGCAGGATAAGCCTAGCTGGGCAAGTTATACTTGTCCTTCTTGGCATGTGTGGTATGTTTTCTACAAGATGGCCTGTAAGCTCAAAGATGCACTCATGGAAGCTAGACCTATTTTTATTATTTAAAGGAAAAATGGTCAAATAACTTGTGCTTCATTTTTCTAAGTTTCCAAATCATCTAATTCTATTATTACCCAACTTACCCTTTTTCATAACCTTCCTCACTTCACAAGATGTGCTCATGGAACTCTTCAGATTATCATGAAAGAATGTTATCAATTAGGACTGACATTAGGACTTCCATGATCATCCTTACATTGTCAAATTTTAGCAGAAATCCTATTAAGTTGGTTTTATCTGAACACTCTCAATATCAAATCACTCTGAATATTTGATCAGATTCCTCCTAATGACATTTGACCATAGTGGCCTGTCATAAGCAAAAACCCTGTTAGGTCAGCTTATTTAGAACCCCTATTACCCATGATGCTCCCCGTTGATTTTCCATGCTTCAATCCTTCTACTTGTCCAAGCTGTATTTAGAGTTGAACCCAAACTCTCTCATATTCTGTTGGCTGTAACTGTAGTGATTGTCCCCCACTCCCCATAAATAGTCTTCCTGGTATTCTTTACATTGAAGAATCCATTAACTGTATTCAGTAAATTTCATTGAATTATTTATTCTTTATCACCCCTCCTACATTCACTAAAACTTAGACCTCTTATTCTTCTTTTTCCCTGGTAGTTCTCATTTTTTTTCTCCAGCTTTCTAGCTATACTTCTCTCCATAATTCCTGGAGGCATCTCTAGAATCCTCCATCTTTCCCCTACATTATCCTCTCTCCATGGCTATGCTCCACATCTAAAGAGAAGCCATTATAAATCAGCAGCTTCTCACTGAGCTGAGGCTCTTGCTGAGCCTTTTATTCAAATCTCTATTAAGTAGGCCTACAGTGGAGTCATATACCTGAGATTGTATAGTAGCAGTATGTATTACATAGTAGTATTACATAGGGAAAGGGACACTTGGAATGCAGAGATCTTGAGCTGGAAAGATAATAAAAAGTAATCACTCAGTGAATAAAAAACAACACTAGGAATAAATCCAAAGTGCCTGACTCAGATCTGATTGGGTCTAAGCTCAGCCCTGTAGCTTCTTTTCTGTTCTTATCATCAACATCACAGTAGCCCAACCTACATTTACTGAGTCTTTGCTATGTGTCCCGCACTGTTCTAGTCACTCTACAAATACTGCCTTTTTTACTCTTCATTAACATCCTGAGCTAAGTGCTGTGATATGACTATTTTATAAGAAGAAGTCATGAAATGGCTTAGCAACACATCCAAGGTCATGCAATTACTAAGAGGATGATAGAATTCAACCCAAAACAAGTCTTTCTCCCTATTCTATCATTTCAGTCATCTTTGTGATGACATGGTGATGGATAGTGACATTAAATGGAGGATCTAGGCTTACCAGAGGCTCTGGATTCCATCCAATTTCTTGAGATTCAGTCTGTGACTCTGTGTATTTCTTCTTTGGTCCCTGATTAGAATAGTGAATGAGATTCAGAAACCTGGCTGGAAATAAAACACAAGTGAGGAGGAAGTCCAAATCTGTGTCCTTTACACTTGCCTCAGAAGTTTGCCAAGGCCCAGAAACAGAATCACATTCTTTATGCTTTTATTAATAAACCCTTTGATCAAAATGTCCTATTTTGGGGACCTGGGTACACAGGACTAAATACGTCAGAAATGGGATCTTCTGGAATTTGTGTTCTAGGTATAGGGACAAGGGACACCATACACAGGTACACATGGAAACCCAGAGCAGCAGTGATCTGCCATGAGGAGAGCGGTCTAGGCAGAGGCTTGACAAGTGAGGGCAGCTATGTGAGCCAGGGTGGTCAGGGATTCCTAGCAGAGCCAGCTCTGAGATGTGACAGTGGAAAAGCACATGGCATGTAACAAGAACAAAGGTCACAGTGTGTGCAGCTCTCAGACTATGCTAATGCTATGAAAGCAATTAGTATGGCTTTCATATAATGCAGATTGCCTTTCCATCTCAACCTGAGTTCAACTCTTCCAAACCCAGTTCTCAGAACTCACTGACGGATGGAAGTATCTGCTTTCTGTACCACTGGCAACCAATCTGCATCTCAATTTTCTTGATAGGTACTTACCCTTCTGCTTACTTCCCTCTCCTTCATTAGATTATGAGATTGTCCCACCTAACCCCATTCCATTGTCTTCCATTGGACAATGATGACAATGATAATTATGTTTACTGAGCATCCTATGGCAGATACTATTCTAAGAACTTTCAGTAGTTTATTTTATCCTCACCACAACCCTATGAAATAGGCCCCAAATTACAAAATTAGTTAAGTGGAAGGATCATGATTTAAAATTAGGATGATTTCAGAACCTGAGTGTATAACATTTGAATGTTTGAATGAATGAACAGAGGATTAAGGACATTAGGAACGTTTTGTTGTTTTGGCTATTATTGGAAATTATGATAGAATGGGTCCATCTCTGGTGAGCTTGCTTCGCAGGAGTCAGGATCAAGCTGAGGACCAGCATTCCCGCATTGTGGCAACACAGTCCAAGGGGTCTCTGCACCAGTGCACTTCTCATTGGTTCCTCCAATGTATTCTCAAACTCCATTACTTACTGTCTTCAGGTTCCTCCAAGTTATCATGCCATGACATGGGCTTTCCGGTGATTGTGTGAACTAGAGAAAAACAGCAGCACAGTTTGCATTAGGATATATGTGCTGGGTGCTGGGAAGTGAGTGGAGGAAAGCCATCAAGAGCCAGATGTCTTGTACCTTGATTCAAATTACCCCCAGAAACTGCAGAGGCTATTGAAAGGTCTTACAGAAGGAACGCATAGTTGAATGGGTCTTTAGTGTTGTAGAGATTAATGAAGGAGCAAAGGCGTTGGATTGGAAAAACAGAGTCCATCAGACCACCCAGGCAGGAGTGATTATGGCCCAGCTAAGACTTTGGGAGTGAGGCTGGAGAGAAGATTCAGGTGCTTATTTAGAGGGTAGGATCAACTGAGAAAAGGTGGCGAAGCCTCCACATGTACTGGAGAAAGCATGAAAGGTTGCATGATAGAAATATTAGGGTAAGGACTTGTTACTGCATATTATTCCCAATGAGGGGGAGGACAATGTCCAGCTTCTTACTAGAGAGGAAATTGTCTGAGATTCCTTTTTCTGGTATTAGATCCTGGGATAGAGGGTCCTATCAGCAAGTTTGCCTTACCTGTGGTTGGTTCAGGGAAATCAACTAGGAAGAGGTGATAAGGCATGGTGGCAATTTATGAGGAAAACAGGCTGATGCTATAAGACCAGACAATACCTCATAGAACAGTGCACAGGAGAGAAGAGCAGCTGTGGATTTATAGGGAGGTGGGGGAGCTCTGGGTCTAAGTCTACTACTCTTGAGTTTCCTTTGTAACATTAAAAAATAGTAACATCAAAAAATAGTCTGAACTGGACACTGGTGGGCTGGCGGCTCATGTCTATAATTCACACTACTCAGGAGGCTGAGATTTGAGGATTACAACTCAAAGCCAGCCCAAGCAGGAAAGTCCATGAGATGTCTCCAGTTAACAACCCCACCCCCAAAAAAAGCTGGAAGTGTTATGGTTCAAGTGATAGAGCACTAGCACCAGCACTCAAGGCTTTGAGCTAAAAAAAAAGCTCAGGGACAGTGGGCAGGCCCTGAAATTGATCCCTAGAATGGAAGACATTTTGTTTTAAAGTTTGAATTGCAAAGCATAAAACTAGAAGCTTAAAAATAAACAAGCCAAAAAACCCCACCTTTGGCATATTAAAAACAAACAACGAAATGGCAAACAAAAGCAAAAACCCTGCAAATCACACCAAAAGTGAAATTATGAGAAGCCATTCACCTTCATTTTCCACCTTGAATCTGTAATCACAATATGGATACAATATATCCATCGTGTATTCTCTGCGGTGAGGCGAGGCCCCTCAAACTCCTTATCCCTGAACTCTAGGGAAAGGACCAGCGTGGCCCGTGTCCTTTACTTCCCTCAAGTTCAGTGCACACAGCCCAGGCTCTTCGTGCAACTGTGCCCTGCCATGCGCCCAGCTCCACCCCTGCGCCCGGTGCCCCTCACCCTTGCGCAGGGGATTCACGTGATAATTGGTGTAGAGCTTCTGAGTTCTCAGCTCCTTGAGGAACTGTTCCCGCAAGCTCTGGGTCTGGTGAACTTCATCTATGACCACCTTCTCCTTCTGGTGACCAGCCATGGCCTAAGAGCGGTTGGGTGAACCCCGTGCACTCGAAACGCTCCGGGACCAGACGCCTTCTGCGTCTCCAGGCAACCGCGTCCCTCCGTTTCCTGGCAACGGCTTCCTGGCGGGGCGGCTAAGCAAGCTAAGTTTTATTCAGGCTCCAACCTCTGCTCCTCTCCCACTTGAGTACTGCCTGGGCTCTCAGCGTCCCGGCTGGATGCCAAACCTGCTGGACACCGCCAGGAAAGGCTCACCTCCTCCGACTGATCCAAGAGAGAAAGGATTGCCATCCTGATGCCAATCATTCCCTTAAAAAGGTGTAGGACGGAGTCAGAAACCTCTACCTTGAAAGATTCCCAGAATCAAAACGTTCTGTGTCCCACACACAAAATGGCAGCAAAACCACGCGGGTTTTGTAGCTGACTAGATATAGCATATATCTAGAATCACCCTTTTATTGCATAAACTAATGACAACTTTTAATTGTGGTAAAATAATCATCATATAAATCATATAGAACTCTCCATCTTAACCATTTAAAATTTACATTTCGGTGGTGGAGGGTATATTCACACTGTTTGAAAACATTGGCTTAAAAAAACAACTCTGAATATCCAATATGTGCCAGTCAAAACCCATGAAGAGGTTAAAATTGCATTGAACAGCACACTGGAGAAAACTAAGAATTAGCAAACGTGAAGAAAAGATTTGAAGACATAAATTAGAAACTCATAAGAGTCACAGATGAGAACAAAAATCCTCAGAATGAACCAGGAAATCATGCAGAATGGAATGAAATCCAAGCATATCAGCCTGAGTGAGCATCAGGCAAAGCTGGGAGCCACAGGTCAGAGGCTGAAGGAGGCACAGGATGCCAATGATGCCATTCTTGCAGACTACAAGCAAGGCCAGGAGGAGATCCTGATGCTGCCTGAAGAAATCAAGGCCCAGAAAAAGGAACTGGACATAATACAAGAATATATAAGGCTGAAGTACATGCCAATTATAAGCTCTGAAGAGTATGAGCAGAAATTCAAAACAACAGAGAAAGAACTGAAAGTGCAGTTAGCGGAACAGACACAGAAGTGCTGTGACAGAGAAGAAGAGGCCAAGAAACATGAACAAGAAAACATCAGGCTCCAGAAAGAAATTGTTACTCTTCAGAAAGAGTTAAAGGACACACATGCTGGGATGGTGAATGCCCAGGAAATGGAAAGAGCATTAGACAGAAACACAAAAGAGCTAAACAAACAGTTGAAAGACCTGCCACAAAAATACACTAAAGTGAAAAAAGGAGAAAGAGAGACCACTAGAGGAAAAGGCCAAACAGACTGCTGAGATCCTCACCATAAATGCAATGCAGAAGCAGCGAGTCCCAATGGAACAGGTGGAGGTGCGCAGAAACCCTCTCAATATCACCATTGAGAACTTAAAGGAGGAGCTGAAGATCCAGCAAAGGTGCTGGAGAAGGAGCAGCAGTTGGACAGTCAAAGGAACGCTTCCGTGACTCTGGCCGAACACTTGCAGGTTAAGGAGGACTCTGAGGAGACTGGAATAATGAAAGCAAGCTTGTGAGAAAAGGAGGATAAAATGGAAGAAGTCTCTAAGCTCCAGACTGAGGCTCAGAATACTAATCAGGAATTAAATAAACTAGAGACCCCGGAGGTTCAGGGAAACAGCCGAGCTGATCAGGTAGCTCCGGAGGCCACCCTAAAACCAATGGGGGCCTCTAGAGCTACTAGGCATTAAGATTAAAGGAAGAAGCAAACATAGTGATAGCAAGTGTGCAAATGGGGAGACTGCATTTGTGAAAAATGGTTGCAGGTTCAAGTTTTCTGTCTTTTTTTATCTGGTTATTTGTCGCCCTGGTAAATTGCCCCAGGCCACTGGATAAAACTCTCATGAAAACTATAACGATTTGTACATCTCATTGTTGCAATGGGACCACCTGTATCCCTATTTAAATGATTTGGTTTTGGGGGGAGGATGGGAAGGGATGGGAAGGGGAAACAAAGGAGGAGGCTACAATGCTTGATAAGAAATGTACTCATTATCTTGCCCATGTAATTGTAACCCCTCTGTAAGTATTTTCACAATAAAAATAAATAAAAATTAAAAAAAATAAATGATTTGTTTTTGCCCTTACCCTCCACAAATTATACCAACATCAAATACAGTCAAAGCAGGGGTTATACTGTGGGGGAGGGACATACAAAGCAACAAAGAAATCATCTCCTAAATATGTTAGAAACAATAGCAAGAAAGAAAAAATATTTGAGTCCTTATCTTGGGGTTCATTTCACCTAACATCAATATATCTGACCATTTTTGCTTGTCTCAGACATATACTAGTCATTGCAAATAAGGGAAACTATGGGACCTATGTTTCTTTGGGCCTGGCTTACTTCACTTAATATAATTTTTTCCAAGCCTTTCCATTTCCTAGCAAATGGGGCAATGCCATTCTTTCTGATGGAGGCACAGAATTCCATTGTGTAAGGGAGGTGAAGGGTAAACAAAGGAGGAGGCTGCAATGCTTGGTAAGAAATGTATGCATTTTCCTGCCCATGTAATTGTAACCCCTCTGTACAGTATGTTCTCAAATAAAATAAAAAAAAAATTAAAAAAAAAATTCCATTGTGTATATAAACCACATTTTCTTGATCTGGGTTGCTTCCCAAAGCTATCTACAAATTCAATGTGATACCTATCATTATTCCAACCGCATTCTTCAAGGAAATAGAAGAGGCAATACAAAAATTCATATGGAACAAAAGACCCCAAATAGCAAAAATGATCCTTAACAGAATGCTCAGTGCTGGATGAATATGAATACCAAATTTCAAACTATACTACAAAGTCATAGTAATCAAAACAGGTTATTACTGGCACAAGAACAGATCTCAGGACCAATGGAATAGAATTGAAAACCCAGAAATGAACCTACAGACCTATAGCCATCTAATCTTCAATAAGGGAGCTAAAAAAATAGAATGGAAGAAAGACAGCTTCTTCAGTAAATGGTGCTGGCAAAATTGGTTAAATACTTGTAGAAAACTAAAGCTAGATCCTTGTATATCACCCTGCAACAGAATCAACTCCAAGTGGATCAAAGACCTTGGAGTCAAAGCAGACACTCTGAAAACATTACAGGATGGAATAGGAGAAACCCTAGGTCTCCTTGGCACAGACTGAAATTTTCTTAATAGAGACCCAGAAACACAACAAATCAAAGAAAGGTTGGACAAATGGGATTGTATGAAATTGCAGAGCTTCTGCATGGCAAAGGACATGGCTAGCAAGATCAATATAAAGCCCACGGATTGGGAGAAGATCTTCATTAGCCATACAACGGACAAGGGTCTCATATCTAAAATATACCTGGAACTCAAAAAATTAAATCTCCCAACAACAAATCCTCAAAGAAACAACTGCCCAATAAGTAAGTGGGCTAACAACTTAAAGAGAAACTTCTCTGAAGAGGAAAGAAGGATGGCCAATAGACACATGAAGAAATGCTCAACCTCTCTAGCCATAAAAGAAATGTAAATCAAAACAACATTGAAATACCACCTCACAGGGCATTATTTAATTTAAGAATATGTCAAAAACCAAGTTAAAGAAGAGTAATGCTGACACCATTTTGATTTCCAGTAATCTCAACATTAAGAAATTATGTATTCAGTACTAACATTTGAGAAACTACAAGTCTTGATTTATGTGTCGCCATGCTATTGTATATTGATTTTAAGATAAATATTCAGAGAAAATAGGCTGCAATTGATTAATAAAGAGATTACTACAAACCAAACCAAATGCATTGTTTCAGAGGAATACAACAAAAGGATAAATACTGCAGGAATGCATGGATGAGAAAGAACAAAGGATTGAAATAGGAAGTTATTCTCTAATTGACCAATGTGAGACTATTGTCTGTTTTCTTATATATGGAAGAGTTTGCTTGCTTAGCATTGGTCATTGAAATTAGGATCGCCTCCATGCTACACAAAATTACTTGAGCCATATCGAGAGACTTTTTATTTACTTCAGTTATTATTCAGGCATAGTCTCACATTTTTGCCCAGATTGGCCTCTAAACCTCTAAAGCCTTCTGCATAGTGGGCATCAAAGTCCATACCAGGCTTATTTTGTTGAAATAATGACCTGCTAATTTTTAGCCTGTTTGTCCTCAGTCTGCAATGGTTTTAATCTCTGACTCCAAAGTATCTGGGATTACAAGCATGAGCCTCCATGCTCAGTTGGGTAAGACATATCTTAATGGATAGAGTTTCTATTTGAAAGCCACTTAACTGTGCATTTATGATGGTTGGAAATTTTAGTTTTGAGTTATGTATATTTGAGCACAATGAAGGGAAAACTAAAACTGAATATTGCTGCAATGCTTGTTAGGTTAGCTTGTTCTCAAAATGCTACTTCTGGCTTTTTAAATTTGTAACTAGAGGAGACGTTTCTAGTAACTACTGTTATTTTGTATTAGTAAGATGCTCCCAGATCCCCAGTGCTTCCTGCTCCAGATTCATTACAAATGATGTTCTTTAAACTATAAACATAGCTCAGGGACCTCACACCCTGTCTCACACCCAGCCAATATGTATATCCAGTAGTCAGGTTCTAGAGGACCACTACTATGCCAGCCATGGGCTCGGTACTCTGTTTCAATATGACAGAGGATGGAACTCTCTCCTTGCCAGGGCGGTAGGTCTCTCACTACCATGTCCTTCACTGCCCAAACTTCCTGCTGCTTCCATTCTTCAGCAGAAACACAACTGACCCCTCACATGACTTCTACTTGCAGTCATCTCCATTCTAGACAATGAGGTAGGATGTCAGAAGACTTCCTGAAGCTGGATTGTTTCTTCAAGTCCCCAGTGTAGCTCAATCCAGATAGATTGCCTCTCAAGATGGTAACTCAATTTAGCTCTTAGAAATAAGGAGAGGACAAAATATCTGACTTTACCAAAGTTTTCTACATTTTAATAGTGTTTCATAAAATC